CTCTTTCCTGCCTATGCAGGGGGTCGGACTCGATGATCTACTGAGGTCCCTTCCGACCCTAGCATCTCTGAATATATGAATCTATGACAGCAAAAGGTATTCTTTGACACCAGGATGACTCTCTTGCTAATTTTTTTAGCATACTGTGAAACAGATATATGGCTGAAGAATTTATACATGGGCAAAATTATTTGTTTTTCTCTAACATCATTCTGAGAAATAGCTGAAACGCTTATCTTGCTGGGGTCATCTGACCCCAACTGACTTGCTGCCCCTGGGGCACAGGGCTGGACCCGATGATCTTGCGAGGTCCCTTCCAGCACTAATGTCTATGAAATCTAGGAAACATCCCACAAAAATTTCAGCCCAAGATAGACTCTGATTGTGATGTCAGGCTACCGCGTTTATTCTGACACTTTTTAAAGATTGTTTTCAGGTCTTCAACTCTTGCACGCACTGCAAAGATCTGGACAAGTTGCAATTCTAACAGCATACAGAACATACGTACTGCATCAACTGTAAATGCTGCCTGCAGGCATATTATTGAATGTGCACTAAAAGGTGCATTTATACATTTTCAGGAGCTACTGCTGGGGTCACGGGACTGCACTCAATGCGTTACTGTGGACTAAAATGTTAAGCCACACTTATGCTTATATTGTGAATCATGGGCAGATTAATGCAAACTGACCATTGTGCAAGAAAATGATATAGAGAATAGCAAACAGTGCTGCGGTGTGAATCAAAACCTAAAGAATCAGTAGACAGGCTGCATTTAACCCAGCAGGCTAATTACTGGTTATCTAAAGAACCCGATCTTCAAAACGCAAGCTGCTCAGGAGACACAGCAGAATGGGAAAGCATTCTGAAGACGATTAAAAAAAAATCCACCACAAGTGAAAGGTGACTTATTTCTTCTGAATTTGGAAGTTAACAATGTCTCCATTTGGGCCTTGTGTGCCAAGATACCAGTCTAGCCTGAATTGATGCAACCCAGGTTCTAATCACTAATGGTTTGTGTTGAAAAAGCTGTCAGATCCTGAGCTTTGAAAAGAAAAAGGGAGGCCTTGTTCCAATATTGGCCTGTAATTTTAGAGCTGCATTAGCAGGGGGCAGGGCAGAAGTCAGTACGCCTCTAAATATGTACAGGGTGCACTGTGCTCTGCTCCCAAATAGGAAATACTTGTTTCGGAGCACATTTTTGGAGTGCCCTTGTGCTGATGCATGCAATGGCTTCCCTGCCGCTTCCTCTTATGGCACCTGATTTATTGCTTCCCTAGCTGAATAGTTCCAAGGTGGGATCCTGGCATGGGCAGATCCAGGATTTTGAAGAAATCAAAAGGTGGGGTGGGGGCATGCAGATGGTGAGGTACATTGTCACATATGACGCAACATACATTTTTCTCCTGTTAAAAATAAACTAGAAGCTGTATTCATAGGCTAGGGGCCTGGGGCTGTATGATTCCTTTTCAGATTAAGGAAAAAACAAATAGAATGTCATTGGGATGAGTTAAAAACAGTCTGCTGGGCTGTGACGTAGGAGCTTCATGGCGAGGAGCAGCTGACAGACAACAGCATGGCAAAGCGAAGGCTAGCTTGACTGGTGGAACATCCAGACCATTAAAAAGAAGTGGGGATCACTCACACTTATGGAATGAAGAGTTTAGGAGGGATCAGGTAGAGGATGATGAGTTATGAAGTCAAGAGCTCTGCAGAAAAGGACCTGAGGGTTATAGTGGACAACAAGCTGAATATGATGAGCCAACAGTGTGCCTTTGTTCCCAAAAAGGCTATCAGCATACTGGGCTTTGTTAGTAGGAGCACTGCCAGCAGATAGAGCAGAGGTGGGCAAAATGGTGGAGATGGCCAGTGGTTGGACTCCATTCCCAGCAGTCCCTGCCTGCATTACTGTGGCTGGTTTCCATGGACACCCAATAGTGGCAGTGCCATGACAGTACAGGGCCAGGGTTTCCATGCAGACCAGCCGCAGCAGTGCTGGCAGGGTCCACTGCTGGGCAGGAGCTGCTCTGGGGCCAGGGCTGGGATCCTGAAGTGGTGACAGTATGGTCTGAAGCCCGGGCAGAGCCACAATCTGCTGCCTGCATGCCCCTGCCCTAGATGTGAGGGCAGCAGATTGCAGCTCTGCCCTGGCTCTTGACTATGCTGCCACCACCACAAGATCCCAGCCCTGGAGCAGCTCCCTGCCCAGCCATCTGCCCTGCCAGTGCTGCTGGGGCTGGTCTCCATGGAAACTAGCAGCAGTGACCTGGGCAAGGTCTGCTGGGAAATGGAGTCCACTGTGGGCCTGATGTGGCCCACGTCTGCCCGGAGATAGAGGGAAGTGGTTCTTCCCCTCTACTCTGCACTGGTGAAGCTGCACCTGGAGTACTGTGCCCACCTTTGAGCCCCCCACTATGTGGATGTGGACAAGTTGGAGAGAATATAGCAGAGGGCAATGAAAATAGTTGAGGGGCTGGGGAACAAGAGTGGTGAGGAGACGCTGAGGGAACTGGGCTTATTTAGTGTGGAGAGGAGTAGTCTGATGAGGGATAATAGCAGCCCTCCAAGCCTTGAAGGGGGCTCCGAAGAGGACGGAGCGGGTTGCTGGCAGGGCAGGACATGGCAGGCCAGGGAGCAATGGGCTCGCGCTGCAGCAGGGGGGCTGAGGGTAGAGATGAGGGGAGCCTCTCTGAGGCGGAGGGCGGGGAAGCTCTGGACTAGGCTGCGGAGTCTCCCTGCTTGGGGGGTGTTGAGCCGGCAGACAAAGCCCTGCCGGGGGCAGACAGGTGGGGCTGGTCCTGCTCGGAGCAGGGGGGACTCCATGCCCTCCCAGCAGGACTCCAATTACATTGATTCTGGGGCGATCTGCAAAAAAAAATGGGGATGCCCTAATAAAATCGCCCCGCCCCAGGTTATGATTTTCAAATCTCACAGAGGGGCTCTCTCTCTTATGGGTGGGGCTGAACTGCCCCCTACCAAGAGCCCTGCCCCTCCCCGGCTCGGGCGCTGACTCCGGGCGGCGCGAGCTCAGCCATCGACCCCCTCCCCAGGTCCGAGTCCTTTAAGAGCTCCTCGCGAGGGGCGGGGCCGGAAACACTGTCACCGGAAGTGCCCCCTCCCGGCTTGGGGGCAGTAGCGGTGGCGGCAGCGGCAGCGGCAGGGG